TTGAACTGGAAAAAAAAGTATTTTTTTTTCAATTTTTAAAGAAAAAATACTTTGAATGGTGTATTTTGATTGTTAGACGATGGAAAGATTAGTGCTGGTGATGGAATTGGAAACATTTTTTGAGATTTTTTATTCTGAAAAATTGAGTTTTTGCGGAGTTAAATAGGTGAAAATATGAGGAAAGCTTTTCCGGAAAGTCAATGGAAAATCAAAAACAATTTTGTGAAAGATTACTGTAGCTTCAAGGCGCATGGCATAACTTTGAAAGAAAAATTTTCGCATGCACCTTCGATGTACTGTACTATAATTTTTCAATTTCTCACCTACAGTTTTACTTGAATTTTGCCTCGAGAATCAATAATGCAGTTTTTTNCTGGTGGTTCCCCCGAATTTTTGTTCGAAAATCTACAAAAGAGTCAAAACTAGTCGCAAAAATTCAAAAAAGGGAAAATCGGGAAAAGATTCGAGAAAAATACAGTTGCTCGAAAGCAAAATAACAAAAGCGTTTGGTGACAAATTTCGAAATGTTCCTTCAAAGTACAGTTCTTTCACTCTTGCTCACTCTAAAATTTGAAATTTCACACTTTTTTCGACAGAAAAATTTGCAAATTTCGCCATTTAAAGAGCGATAAATCATGCCAGTTGTCAAGCTAAACATTGGCGGTAAAGTCTTCCAAACGACCGAATCCACGTTGAAAAGATTCGACGGATTCTTCAAGACCCTTCTGGAAACTAGTGTTCCGGTAATTAGGAACATAATTAAATATTACAAACAAAAAACATTTTTTAGATCACTCGCGATAAAAACGATAATTATTTCATCGACCGGAGCTCCCAACATTTTGAAATTATTCTGAATTACATGAGAGATGGCGACGTCGTGCTTCCGGACTCCGATAAGTCGATTCTAGAGATTCAGAAAGAAGCACAGTACTACATGTTGATGGGTCTTGTTGAGATTTGCGAGAAGAAAATCCCAAAAAAAGTTGAGAAAATATTGAAATTCTTGGAAAACGAGAATCAGTTGCTCGAGGTGATTGCAAACATCACAGACAAGGTAAGTTTCAATTTTTATAGTTCTCCAGAATTTTTCCAATTTCAGCCAGTCCTTGTTGTTTATTATACTCTCGAAGAGTGCAACTTCTTCAAATATCCACGCGCCATGTGTATCAAAAAATTTTTGGCGATTTTTGCTGGCAGATTCGAAATCTATTTCAGTAAGTTTAGTGCCGCGTGTATAGAATTATTTTTGAAAAATTCCAGAGTGTGATTCTGCGTCAATGAAAATCAATAAAGACGATGAAGACGACGAAGACGGGGGCTGGAGTTATAGAATTTACGATACTACTAATGGATGGGCTAAATCTGGAAATTTCGAGAACGTCCTCAAAGATTTGCCATGTTATTACATGGGAAGATACATCAAAATTAAGAATTATAAAGCCAAATAATTCTGTCTGCGGAACTAGGTTTAATTGTTTTATTAGTTATTTCATCAACCAATAAAGTTCTTTGTTTTCAGTTATCGATTTTTATTGAATAAAACGCTGTAATTTGAAAAACACCCAAGAAAATGTTCGAAAAACATTTTTGAAAAACCGGAAATTCAATCACAACGTTTGTTGTATATCGTTATCCCTCAAAATTCACTGACCTACCAATATTTATTATTTTTGTCTGGCGCCGATTAACCTTGTGGCCAAAATTTTTTTTTTGAAAGCGCATAGCAGGTCCCGGAGAGGAAACGGGTACGGTTTTTACAATTAAATTGGGGCGCCTTTAACACAGTACTACAGAATTATTTTACTTTGACCCATTTTAGGCAGTTTTCCTACTTTATGAGGAAAAAAATTTTAGGGAAATAGACAAAAAATAAAATAAATCCGAAGTAATTTATAGAAGCCGCATGAAATTATTTGTAACGTATAATTGCCTGGTTTCTTCAGTATGGCACTATTATTGTATCTTAAAAAGCGTGTATCTTAAAGGTGGGGGGACATGAAAAAAATATATTTCTCGAAATTCCGTTCAAAGATGCCCCTCGAGGAGTTGAACTTGTGAGGGCGAGGATTGAGGGTGCGGCGCCGCTACCGACTGAGCCACGCGGGCAAAGAGACAGCACACGCCCGTTTGCATACATAAAGGCGAGGACGACAGCTGTACGCAGAGTGACATTAAGCGTTGTACACCGTGACGGTAGAATGCATACTCTAGCTACAAAAAAACTACGAAAAATCTCCTGTCCCCCCACCTTTAAAGTGGAATGTGTAGCATAGTTATCAGAGAGTTACAGTATCAGGGTATCAAAGTCAGCAAAATTGAAATATTGCTCTTCATGATCTTCAAACTCTATTCAATTCCCATTTATTCAAAAAAAATATGGAAAATTAAAAATATATCAATTATCGAACCTTATGCTTTAATAATTTTAGCTGCGAAAATGAATTTGAGCAACTCTTTCTCCTTGGTAAGAGGGCAGTAGGTAACTTTGAGTTTTGTGGCATTACTCAGTTCAATCTCACACGTCTTTCTGTTGACACCCAGCCTTGCATCAATTGGAAATAATCAAACGCGGTCGGATTGTCAGACTGATAAAATGTGATTTGAACTTGTCGGTTTTCCATTGTTTCAAAAGACCTCGCGAGCTGATCGATTCTTCCACTTTTTACACCAATGAATAGTTTTTCAGTATTTTTAACAAAATTGTGTTGAAGATTCAAAACTAATTCTGATCTGAAATGATTGTCCAATCTGCGCGAAGTTCTCGAAGGATCCAAAATTGATGAAATAAGAACTACCAGTCGGTTTGAACTACCCCTGTCAGGGGCTCAACCCCCTGGCTTTCGTTCACTGTATCTTACACTTGAATTTCTAATGTCTAGATTTTCCACTTTCCTAGTGCCCGAAACTTCCAAATACTTCGATTTTTAAATTTTGGATGTTACTAATATGGGAATTTCTAGATAACGTAATTTCTCCAATAAAAGCCCACATCTATTTGATGCCTACCTCTGATAAAACAGACGTACTTTTTTTCCAATTTTCTGATAATTTCTGTTAAATCTTGTCGCTTTTTTGAGAAAAAAGATATCCGATTTTCTGAATTTCCGAGTTTCTACATGACAGAATACATGTTTCTTGAAAAGAGAATAAAATTTTTTGATTTTCTAAAGTCTCGAATTTCTAACGTAAAATCTCTAATTTTCGAATTTCTGCATTTCCGAGTTTTTTAAATACTCGGCTTTTCCGAATTCGTGAAATTTTGAATTACTCATACATTTCTATTTCTAAGCATTTGGTTCTAGATCACAATGAAAGTGTGAAGAAAATGTTGCAATATTTTATAGAGAAAGCTAACATTTGAGAGAGTTCGAGGCACTCCTGGAATTTTTTAGAATATTCTCGAACTTTTTCGATTTTCCAGGACTATTCTACAATTTTCTAGAGCTTTCATGAATGTTTTGGGTCTTTTGGAGTTTTCTGGAATGTCCTGGAGCTTTCTAGAATGTTCTCGAAATTTCGAGATTTTTTAGAATGTTCTGGAACTTTCAAGAATTTTTTGGTACTTTCTAGAATGTCTTAGAGTTTTCTGGAATTTCTTGAATCTTCTCAATTTTTCTGGAATTTCCCTGCAAACTTTCTAGAATGTTCTGGAATTTTCTAAAACGTTTAGGAACTTTCTGAAATGTTCCAGAATGTTTTGACATTTTCTAAAATGTTTTGGAGTTTTCTGGAATTTCGTGAACTTTCGGGAACTTTCTAGAACTTTTCGGATTTTTTCAGAATGTTCTGGAATTTTCTAGCATGTTCTAGAATGTTCTGGAACTTTCTGGATTTTTCTAGAATGTTTAAAAATTTTTTCTGGAATGTTTTAAAATGTTCAGGAACTTTCTAGAATTTTCTGGAATTTTCTGAAGTTTTCTGGAACTTTCTGGAACTTACTGGAATTTTCTAGAACTTTTCGGATTTTTTCAGAATTTTATGGAATTTTCTGGAATGTTCTAGAATGTTCAGGGGCTTTCTAGAATTTTCTGGAATTTTCTGAAGTTTTCTGAAACTTTCTGGAATTTTCTGAAATTTTATGGATTTTTCTAGAATGTTCTGGAAAGTTCTGGAACTGTCTGGAATGTTCTGGAACCATTTGGATGTTTCTAGAATGTTCTAAAATTTTTTTCTGGAATGTTCTAGAATGTTCAGGGACTTTCTAGAATTTTCTGGAATTTTCTAGAATTTTCAGTAACTTTCTGGAATGTTTTAGAATTTTCCGCATAACTTAAGAACCTTGTATTCAAAAGAAAACTACTATGACCCATTTTCAGTAGTCCACAGGATTGAAATTTAAGTGATATACGAAAAAAAAACGAAATTTTCAAAAAATTTCAGTTTTGAAGATTTGTGCTCAATTCTATGTCGGCAGCACATAGATAGGTCACCGTTTTGCAAAATTTCGTGATGTTTTATTGAGTTTGAGCATAATTTTGAAAATTTCGATTCTCAACCCTATATTATGCTTGTCTGAGAAAAAAAAGGTTAGAGAGTTTTTTTGCAGTCTGAATACGGTAGCGATATCGAAGCGGAGAGCCTAAATAGCACACAAACGGTGAAGACGCAGACACTTTTTCTCTGCGTCTCAACCTTTTTTTTCTCAGACAAGCATAATAGGTTCCCTATTAGCTAGAAGGCCCAGTACACCATAGACATGAAGCGCTCGGTAGTCCATGGCTACATACCACACACCATTATAGGAGTCCCATGCCCTTTGGAGTTATTCAAGTAAATGTCCGAGACGGACACACACACACACACACAGAAAAGTTTCCTTAGTAAGAAGTAGATTTTCGATGGAATGACTGAGTGGCGATAGATTGGGATTAATGTTTTGGATGGGCGTTGCAGATGTTTCTGTTCTGGTGAGAATGTCGTCCTTCGTCGCCATGGGAGTGTGAGACTGTCTATGTTTGATCATGGGAATGTGAGAGATTAGAAGAAATGCAGAGATGACGTCCGTCTCATTCAATACAAAATGACCTCAATGAAGACGAGCCCCAAGGATTGAGTTTTTTGGGTATTTGAGAAAATAGAAAAGTAATGCAAGATAAAATGAAAGTTTAAAAAGATATATACATTTGGGGACGAACAGTACAAAAGTTAGGCGAGCCTCGGATCGTTTTTCAGCGTTTGGAAAAAGTGGATATGGTGGTGTTTGGAAAAACGTTGGACAAAAATTAGGATTTTAGGAAAACTTGAACGAAAAATGATCAAAAGTTGGTTGCATCCGCGGAATAGAAAACAAATAAAAGAAAAAAAGGTATTCAGAAAAAAAGACCTTAAGATTTAGAAAGGAAAGGATGTGCACCTACTGATGCGAGCTATTGGAAAAATGACTGAGCCGATCGATTGTGAGGAACACCTTGAATGGATGTTTGGGTGAGAACGTCGCCCGGGGTCCCGATGAGAGTCTCTGTCTTTGTTTGCATGATGTCCCTTCTGGGATTGCGAGAGAGCATAAGGAACAAAGAAATGAGGTGGTCACATTTGTCTAGATTAGGCAATTGCTGTAGAATGCAGGGTAGATGGGACGTCGAGGACGATGATGACGGGGTGTACTAGGAATGAGAAGTGCTACAAAAAAGAACCGACGGAATATAGAAACTGGTAAAAAAATGGGGAATCGACATATGATAACTCTGGAAATGGCTATGATCTGATCATATCCGATTTAACAAGATTATTTAGCATCTCGGGTTAAAATAGAAAACCTCTTCTTCAGATTCCGGCATACAGATTTACCCTGATCCGTACCGCACTCCGGAACAACAGAGAACGGCGTTAAAGGATTACCTTCTGAATCGATGAATTTCATTTTAAACGAAACTACTCCAATTTTTTCTAAATATTTTGTAAGAAATCCAGAATAAAACCTAAATCCAGCCGAAAGAAAACGAAAAATCTTATTTTGAATATAGAAAATCTCGTAAATCGACACCAGCCTGAAGTCGCGCAGATTTATAAAACAAGATCTCGACGCAATTTGGGTGACCGTGCTGTTCAAAGAAGAAAAAAACCTCCGGAAAGGGGTTGTTTACCTGTTTACTGAATAAGCTATACGGGTAAAGTACCTGGTTTTTTGCCAGTATTTTACCTACCTGAATAACCCCATAAAATCGATACATTCACTGTTTTGTTCATTGGAAAAAACGAGAAACCAGGGGAAAAATGAAGTAGGGAATAGGGAGTAGACATTAAAAAAAGTACACGAGAGAAAGAGAGAGTTAAGCTATGTAAGAATAGGAGCGGCGATCATGTTCGTCTCGTTGCAAAAACTCTCTTTCGATCAAAATCTCGATTCTCTGCTTGATAATCGTTTGGAAGGGCATGAAACGGTGTCGGAGTTGTTGGGTGACCTAGAAAAGTTTAATTTGGGAGAGGTGACTCAGCAGAAAGACTAATTACCTCTGTGACCAGATTATTATGATTCAATCGCTTTCTGGCCTTCATAATTCTAACGATTGCCGCCTCGACCTCCAGCTTTCTGTCATCTGAAGAAGGATGATCATCTACCTTCTGACGTGTCTCCTTAATTTCCGGCTCCGATTCCACGTTTCTAGACACCAACTGCACTTTGACATGTGTCAGCTTCGATTGGAAGTTGTCGTTGACCATGAACTTATCCGACATGTCTGGAAAATTGAGATTTTGGAAATCAATCAGGCCCCTCCCTTTTATTTTTTTGGAACACGCTAATTACATAACTGTAGTCCGTTTTTCATTCTTGAGTCTTAAAAAAAAGAGCTCTGAAAATGCCACCAACACCAATCTGGGGCAGCACATAGTGTCCCCCCCCCCCCTTTCATAGCTCCAAAAATAAAGCTTACCAATCATATCTCGTCCTTTCGGTCCTTTACGAGTCAGAATGCGCTGCGACAATTTACTAAGCGCTAGTGAATACAAGCATCTCTTTAACTCCTTCTCGGGTATTTTCAAATCGTCCAAAAGCTGTTGACACGAGATCACTTTGTGATGATTGAACTGAAGAAGGATGATCATCTGATGCGTGGTGACCTGTAGTATCTTGTTCTCCGGCTTTCGCTCCTTGGGCTCTTCTCCGGCTTTCGATGGTCCCGAACCGTCCTCCTCGTTGGATTCCGAAGCTATTGGTGATGGATAGAATGTCGCTTTGACATCAGCATTTCCGAGAAGCGTGTTGATGGTCAGTTTTCGTCCAGTGTGCTTTTCAGTGTAGAATGCAGTGAACATCTGGAAAAATTATATATTTTTGGTTAGAAATTTGTTTGAAGGTGATCGCGCGGTAAAACATTTTATTGCTTTTTTTAGAAATCAATGTATTTAGATTCACATAAAAACAGTGAAAAAATTCCTAAAATGCTTTTTGAACAAAGAAAATAAATGCACTTCGATGCACCAAATGGACTAGAAAACTCACCGCTAGGCCACCGGATCCCACTTCGTTCTTTCGGTGCGGTTGTTTTGCAAATTTGTTAATTTTTTTTAGGTGAATCTACATACATTTTTTTACAACATTAAGCAATAAAAAAATCACCGTCGCACGCCACTTTTGTAAGGGGGGAAAACAAGTCTTACAGGGTCCGCCAAAATTACGTGTGCACAACTTTGACGCCATGGCGCTGCGCACTGACGCACTTTTGGTGCGCAATTTTTTAAAATTTTTATTAATTATTTCATTATTTATTAGTTTGCCAAGTTTCATCCCAATCGGTTATGTTTTAGGTAAATGACAGCGGCAAGTCCTCATCGTACTCTGATCGTCGACTTTTACAAGCGAGGTTTAAGCACAGGAGACATTTCTAAACGACTCGGAGTGCACCGAAACACGGTTTTCGCGACCATCCGTCGTTTCAACCAGCTTGGCCACCTCAAGGACCGTACGGGAAGAGGAAGACCGAGGACTGTAAGAACTCCAGCGAAAGTCAAGGCCGTCCGGGAGAAAGTCAGGCGAAATGCTCATCGTTCCATGAAAAAGATGTCAGATGACATAAATATCTCCTATACATCAATGAGGAGAATTGTCAGAAAAGAGCTGAAGATGACCTCTTATCGAGCAACAAAAGCTGCTATTCTATCCCAAGCCAATAAGGAGAAACGGCTCATCAAAGTGAAGCGCCTTCTCGCTGGCACGCGCAAAATGGATCATCTTATCACCATCTTCTCGGACGAGAAACTCTTCAGTGTCGAGGCTGAATTTAATAGCCAAAACCACCGAGTGCTGGCCACAAATATTCAACAAGCAGCTGAGCGTGGTAAAACAATCCATCGAGCCTCTCATCCTGCGAGCATCATGGTTTTCGGAGCGGTTTGCTATGATGGGAAGTGTCCGCTTGTTTTCGTTGATAAAGGCGTGAAAATCAACCAAAAATACTACGTTGAGGAGATTCTGGAGAAGCATGTGCTACCGTGGGCTCAAAACCACTTCGGTCAGAAGAAATACATCTTCCAGCAAGATGGAGCGCCTGCTCATACCGCAAAAATGGCTCAACAGTGGTGCAAGGACCACTTCCCCGCCTTCATACCAAAGGACGAATGGCCGGCTTCGTCGCCTGATCTGAACCCGCTCGACTACTCCGTATGGGGAGTTCTGCAGAATAAGGTCTGCGCAAGACCTCATGCAAATATCGAGGCCCTGAAGAAGTCGTTGTCTGAGGAATGGGACAAATTATCCGTCGAATACCTGCGTGCCACCATTGATGCCTTCCCTCGACGACTTCGTGCCGTGGTCGCTGCCAAAGGAGGTAGAATCGAATAATTTTTGTTGAATTATGATTTCAAGCGTTGAAATAAACTATCTGTTAAATTTCGTCTTAATCTCGCATCTACTTCTGGAGATAACGTCATCTACACTTGCACACGTAATTTTGGTGGACCCTGTACATCATAAGCCATTGCCAACTCCTGTGGCAGCACAACCGGCGTACACTGAACCATCGGCCAGACACCTGCAGTCAGCACTCTTAACGATATATCAAAAGGGAGTTTCTGCCCTTTTGGCCCTTCAAGCCAGTCCCTGAAGCTGTTGGCCAATTCACGATCATTGTCGAAAATTTGGAATGTTTTGTTTTCTTCAATACTCTCCAATTTCAGCTTTAATTCTTGCAATTCTTCGCGAAGTTTCTCATTTTCTTCATTCAATTTTTGACGAATATCACTGAATTTCTCATTTTCTTCTGTCAGGATATTGATTTTTTCGTTTTGCTCTTTTTGTATTTTTCTAGAATCCTCCAGTTCTAGAAGAGTTCCCTCATGCACATCTACATAATCTTCAAATTGTTTCTTTTGAATTTCGCGCTCTTTTTCACACTCAGCAAACTCTTCCGTCAACTTCGCGATCAAAATTTCTCGATTTTCCTGTTCTTGGCTTTTTTGTGAAGTCAGATTTTCTTCAAAATCCTCCAATTTTCGCTTCATTTCTCCCAATTCTTCGCGAATTTTTTCATTTTCTTCATTAAATTTCCCACGAATTTCGACAAATTTCTCATTCTCTTCTGTTAGAATATTGATTTTCTCCTCTTGCTCTTTTTGAATTTTTCTAGAATCTTCCAGTTCCAGAAGAGTTCTCTCATGCACAGCTACATAGTTTCCGAATAGCTTCTTTTGAATTTCGCGCTCTTTTTGATTCTCGACGAGCTCTTCTGTCAAATATTGTTGGCTTTTTTGCGACGTCAGATTCTGAAAAAAACATTATTTAACTAGAACTGTGCCCAAATGACAACCTCGATAACAATATTTTTCACTTCATGGAGTCCAGTTTGAAGCGCTTGAATTTTCGACAACAGCATTTTATTAGTATCTGTCATTTTCTAACTGAAAATTTCTTTGAAAATGCTGGAATTTCCGTGAAAAGAGTTATATTAAAGTTGAAGAAATAATGGAGAGAAAACCAATAGATAAAGTAAATCGCAGAAAAATACAGTACTGAAAAGAAAATGGTTCTTCATTGAAATAGGTCGAAATGGGAAAAAAAATATCATTGGGTAAGATAATTTTTCTAGAAATATGAGTTGGAAACAAACAGTGTAGACTCCTTTTGAATATTGTAATAGAATAGTGTGCGAGTGTCATTCAACGGCTTTCCTGGAAAAAATAAGTTTATCATCAATTTTTATCGAAATTTTCAGTACCCTCTATAGACGAGAAGGAAATCATTACACAAGATTCCTTTTTTGCACATTTTCTCCTTCACATCTACAATTGTATCGGATTTTTTAACATCCAAAGTGATATATCTTCTGATTTTAATGAAAATTTGGAATGCTTTGTTTTCTTCAATATAAATATATATTTCAATTTCCATAAGAGATATCGAAAATCTGTGATTGATAAAATATTGGGAATATTATGATAACCAATTTATCAGTTGACAAATTTTTAATATCTCTCACAGAAATCGATATAATTAAGCTCAAAAGTTATGGTTTGAGTGGGATGCTATTAAAGGAAATACGGTAGTTTTAGAAGAAAAAAACTTTTTCAAAAATTCAAGTATTTCTCACTGTTAGTGAAAAGGTATGGATAGCCAATTATCTGATTTATGAGTTACACCCCTTACCATACTTGTAACGGGCCGGGCCGAGCCGGGCCTGGCTTTTTCCCAAATTTTGGAGGCCCGGCCCGGCCCGGTGGGCCTGTCATTCCACAAGTTTTGAAAATTTCAAAAAACACATAAGGGGGGACCCTTATGTGATTTTTTTTCGATAAAAAAATTTTTTTCGAGTTTTTTAGAGCAAACAGACAAACAATCCAAGAAGCACAAAAAATATAAAAAAATGTATTGAGAGCTCAAAATTCGGTTCAAAATGACAAAATTTTTGGTACCGGGCCTTCCGGGCCGGGCCCTGGCCTTGAAATTTTCCTCAGGACCGGCCCGGCCCGGAATTTTCAGAATTGCAGAATCCACAAAAAATTTGAATGAAAATAACAAATCAGAATTTGAGAGATTAAAGTTAGAAAGAAATCGAAATTCGGAAAATTCAAAAAAAAATGGAATTCAGAAAGCTGAAGCAAAAACGAGTGATTTGTAAAATTGAGGTCAATTTCAAAAACGTTTAAAGTTTCGAACTTTCGTCCTCGTTTTGTGATTGAAAATCAATGTATGTTATCAGTTGAATGTACTCTCTTGCTAACTCTTAAGTTATCTACTGTCATCTGTCACCAATTTCCTTTCTTTTCTTCTTATCAGTTCTGTAAATATTTTGATTTCGAAATATATGCTATTTTAATTGTGGCGGTTGTCCTTTTTGATTTCTCTGAAAGTGCTTTTTTTCAGCAAACTACTATTCGAAGAATGCTAAAACTCAGAAGTTGAAATTTACGACATCAACTTTGAAGATTTTCAGAAATTTCTGGAGCTTCTCTACGGAGAAAGGTCAGTTGATGGTGAGATACAGTAATCGAGGGTACAGTAATTTTGATTTTTTTGAAAAATCTGAGAAAATTTATATAAAAATTTTTTAAAAATGTTAACAGAGAAAATCGATCAACTTGGGATTAAATCCAACAAAAAAACAACAGGAGAAATGAGAATATCAACAAAAAGAAATTGACTTTCTGAGCAGTT